TTTTATATGAACACATACATATACATTACCAATGAATACACATCTAAAAGACTAAGCCGGTATATTGAAAATATATTGAAAGTAACGAAGTAATAAGAGCTTTGTTGTAGTTTGGCACATATCTACATTAGTGAAAAGTAAATTTCAAGATTTCATCACAATGAGCCACGTCACATATTGATTCAGGGCCATTGGATCAGAAGCAAAGAAAAGGTGAAATGAATATTAACCGTCCGATGTACAGAGAGAAAGGCAATCAAAAAGTGGGATTCTAGACAATTCCACGATACCTTACCCAGCGGGAGAACAAAATAATCTACTACTACTTAAAAAATAAGAGGTGCTTCCATCGTCCGTCAAAAAAACCGGGTAAAAAAAACCGGGCAGAAAAAACCAAGTTTGTCCGATAAAAAAACCGGACGAAAAAAAGTCCGATCCAAAAAAAAAGTGAAAAAAAAACCGGGCGAAAAAAACACCCGTCCCTGGTAAAAAAACACCCGATCCCTTAAAAAGGGAAAAAAAAAGTCCGAGAGACAAACCGTTTAATGAATAAAAAAAGCGAAAAAAAAGAGTCCGATTCCCTGGAGAAAAAAAATCTGATTTCCCTGAAAGAGATCCGATCTGTATTGGATTGGAGAAAAGAAAAAAAACACTTCTCTAGGTGCTTCTGTCGTCCGTCAAAAAACGGGAGAAAAAAACCGAGCGAAAAAAAAAGAAAAGTCCGATAAAAAAACCTGGCGAAAAAAAACCGGGCGGAAAAAAAACAAATATGTCCGACAAAAAAAAAAAGGAAAAAAAAGGAAAAAATACCGAAACGAATCCGACTACATCGACGCGGTAAAAAGAGTTTAAAAAAATAAAAAGAAAACTGTCCTATTCCAAAGAAAAATGAATTATATGTATCATGGAGCAAAAAAAAAAAGAAAAGTCCGATAAAAAAACCTGGGCGGAAAAAAACCGGGTGGAAAAAAAACAAATCTGTCCGACAAAAAAGAAAGCAAAAAAAGGAAAAAAATCGAAACGAATCCGACTACATCGACGCGGTAAAAAGAGTTTAAAAAAATAAAAAGAAAACTGTCCTATTCCAAAGAAAAAGGAATTATATATATCGTGGTAAAAAAATCGACCGGGCGAAAAAAGAAAAAAATAGTCCGATCCGAAAAAAACAGGAGAAAAAAAAATGGGCGAAAAAAAAATTTGTCCGATAAAAGAAAAGGAAAAAGCTGAAAAGAATCTGACTCCATCGACGCGGTAAAAAAAGGCGAAAAAAAACTTTCCGATAAAGAAAAAGGAATTATATGTGACGCGGTAAAAAAAATAAAAAAACCAGGCGAAAAAAAAGATAAAAGTCCGATAAAAAAACGGGGCGAAAAAAAAACAAATCTGTCCTATCCAAAAAAAGCCAAAAAGGGGAAAAATCAAAACGAATCCGACTCCGTCGACGTGGTGAAAACAGGGCGAAAAAATTCCAAAGTAAAGGGAGAAAAAAAATCAAAACGAATCCGACTCCGTCGACGCGGTAAAAAAAGGGCGAAAAAAATCCAAAGTAAAAGGAATTATATGTGACGCGGTAAAAAAAATCGATCGGGCGAAATAAACCAGGCAAAAAAAAATCTGTCCGATCCAAAAAAAGGGAAAAAATCAAAACGATTCCGACTCCGTTGACGCGATAAAAAAGGGCGAAAAAATTGTCTGTTTCTAAAGAAAAAGGAATTATACGTGATGCGGTAAAAAAATCGAATCCTATTATATCTTGAAAGGTTTGACACTATGTGAAAGTGGTGAAAAAAACCCTTCGTAAAAGAAATGCACGAGAAAAAAAATTAAAAGGACGGAAAAAAGCGCGGAGGAAAAAAGTCAAATTTATATTCGTCGTTTTTTAGTCCATTTATATATCTTCTTTATCTCTAATCTAATCTAATCTAACTATAAAAAGAGAAGTTTCTACAGTATATTAAAAAAGGAAAAAATGTGCGAGAAAATAAAAACGGTTTAAAAAAACACGTGAGGGAAAAATGTCAGAAAAAAGCACAAAAGAAAACGCGCTAGAAAATAAAGTTTCGTAGTTCTAATTTTCTGATTGTTATCGACATGGTTATGCATGAAAAACGTATATTATCATTACGTTTTTTCACCCGTTGCAACGCACGGGCATATTTGCTAGTAATAATAAAAAAAAGAGAGAGAAAAAAACAGCTACAACAACGAAGCGAAAAGGCGGAATACGGAAGCGTGGAGGGCGGAGGGGTGATGGGCTGATGGCAGATGTAACTACCTTATTACAATTTAGTCCTACGATAAAAAGGATTTTAAAAACTAGCCTCATAAGTACAAAATGTATATCCATGTTAATTAAATAATTAGCCCTATGCTAGGGATATAAATTTATAGCTAACAACTTTAGTACCTCTACATATGTGAAACAACAAGCGTTTTAAAAGGAGGATGAGCTACATCATCTACAATGATATGGACCGTTCGATGAACTGGTAAATGAAAATACACCATTGGATCATCATGCTCATCTATGACTGTGGAAACACGTTGAACCAATCCGGATGATTCCAGATCATCATGCTCATCTCAAAAAGCAGAGAACTCATGTGCTTAGTCTATTTAACAATACCGTTCAAAAATAGTCTTTTTAACACTATACATATGTTTAATTAATCTCCTGACTAAATAAAGGAAAAAACATATGACGTCTTAGCTGTAAATTTATATTGAATTTATATGCAAATTTATATCTATAATGTACGAGAGTGTACACACAAATGCTATGTTATACTACTTTTTGCTTGGCATTGGAACAACACACAACAACTAAGTAGCATCCACTACGTACCAATTTTATTTTAAAATAGTCCATACGAATGCACACACGCACACCCTACAGTTAGGAGCACTTAGTGTTATTACTGTCTCCACTCTAAAATATAGGTGCCTTTAACATTCAAAATTTATCCTAACATTCAAAATTTATCCTAAAATATAGCTATTTCTTCTTCTACTCCCTCATCTTAACCAACATAGTCATATCCTATTTAATTTCTTCGCCTATTTTCTAATGTCAATCAATTACAACGTTCCTCCATTTACATCTCTAGCTACTGCATCATTCCCAAAATAAGTATTTCTATAATTCAAATTTTATATACAAATATAAACATTTCTAAGACACTAATTTCAATACATATTGGAGTAGCTCGTGTTCGGAAAAAGCCAATTGGAGTAGCTCAAATTAAATTTGATAGTAAGTGAAAAAAGAGATCATTCCTCCTTAATCTTACTCTTTACTAAACAAACTAGAAATACTTATATATAGAAATTAATGAAGTATATTAGAGAACAAAGAAAATAACGTACTTACGAAACCAGTCCCTTCAATTAATATCAGGATCAATGGTCTAATTATATAGGTAGGTTATGCTAACACTCAGAGTCGCGCAAAACGCGACTAAGTAGCTAGTCTATAATTGAAAACTAAATCTAGAACTCAAACTTTCAAACTTAATTAGATAAAATTATTTCACCATTAAAAAAAAATCTAACCTTCGATTTGTACTACGTACGTACATAATCCGGATCATGAGACAAAGGTGGTGTTCTTTTCTTCTAAAGATGAAGATGAAGATTAAGTTTTTTATGCAAAACGATTTGGTATTAACGTATGATTAATTGAGTTTTAATTATTACAAACTTGAAAAATAGATTAATATGATATTTTAGAGCAACTTTCATATATAAAGTTTTCGCACGAAACACACCGTTTAGCAGTTTGAAAAGCGTACCACAGAAATTTTAATCTTCATCCAAGTCTTGTTGGAGAAAAGAACGAGGCCAAAGCCTGTTTTCTAAACATTAATCATCAAACCATGTTTTTTTTTTTGCTAAAACCAGTTTCAAAAACCTTGATCATCACACCGTCCAACATGCTTTTCCAAGTTTCCAGCGTCTAGTCAACTTTCCGGGTTACACAAATCAAACAAGCTTTTATTATTATTTTTTGTCACCAGTTTATACAGCTCAGTAATTTACACAAATCAAACAAGCTTTGAAAGGATCAAAGCTCACAGTTAAGCATTTACACTCGTCTAATTTGGTCCATTTCTTCAATCCCCGCCATTAATACCTTTGACTTTTTTTTAAAAAAAAATAGACTTCATCCTTGATAGTACTTTTTAATAAATCACTGGAGGGATGAGATTCCTCACAATAATTTTCCATTACAAAGGATTGAAGAGAAACAGGATTCTTTGAAACAATATAATTTTTTTAAACACCACCATAATTGATTGGCCGCGTTATAATAAGAAGAGTGCTTCATTTTAGAGAAAAAACAATACCAAACCTTACAATAAATAGTTGATAACAGGAAAACTGTGCTAAAACCCCAGACACGACCTAGCTTTCCTAACCACCAAGATAGGACTAGCACCATCCAATTGGACGACTCCGACTTCCCCAGAAAAATCAAGGGAACAAGATGTCAATAGCCCGACCGATACCAACTTCTAACTCCCTGGACTTAGGAACTGCTCCCTCCATCCATAAATATTTGACGCCGTTGACTTTCTTAAACATGTTTAACTGTTCGTCTTATTAAAAACTTTTGTGAAATATGTAAAACTATATATATACATAAAAATATATTTAACAATGAATCAAATGATAGGAAAAGAATTAATAATTACTTAAATTTTTTAAATAAGACGAACGGTCAAACATGTTTAAAAAAGTCAACGGCGTTAAATATTTAGGGACGGAGGGAGTACATCCCTATGTCTATCAGGGTTTAACTGAACATGACAGGTCGTGTACAAATTCAAGATGAGAAATGAGGACCCAAGTAAATGTTGGACTAGTTCAAGAGATGTACATTCCTCTTTTAATGCCTACACTATCGCAGCAAGAGCACATCGTACCAAGTTGAACAAAAAACAAGTGGCAGAGCTCTATAAGTTCTTAAGTACTCCTTGTCATGATGCATGCCCCCTTCAATCTCGATCTGTTAATTAAATCCATAGAAGAGTGAAGCCTTTATTTTTCTCCTTTTTCGAGGAGAAGAGTGAAGCCTTTCAATCTCCCGTTGGTACGCTTCTCCGAACTCTAGCTACGTCGAAAAAGTAATGCTTATCATTTGATTGATCTCTTATTTTGTACTTGTTGTGTATCACCTCATGCAAAACGATATATCTTGGCCTCAAAAATAGTTCTTTCGCATAGAAAGGCTTTATTTGCCAAGGCAAATACCTGATTCTTTTACATTTACAGTTATAAAACTGTCACGATAGCGGCATTAGTAGACGGCATAACGCTATTGAAGATTCAAACTTGACAATACTGAGACAATTTGTTAACAAGATTTAGCCAAAATCTACAACCCGAACTTGATAATTATAATATATAAGGAATCAACGAGCCTTAGGCCTCCCAGTCGTTCTCTTGTCTAGCCATGCAATCATCTCAGATGGTGCATCTCTTGTTTAAAATAGTCTAAAATAAGAGTTTAGCTACAAATCCAATCACTAACTGACAATGTAAACATATTTAATACAAACTCTACCTTGGCGAGTATGCTACACCAATTTGAATTAGTTCCGTGTACATTTGAATCTCCGTGCACCTGGGCTTAAGCTCATTCATTGCTCATGCGGAGCTATCTGATAAGCCTTCACCAGGTCGTTCATAACTAGACAAATTATTTTGTGGATTTGCTCTAAATTGGTTTTTTCCAATTTTCCTAGCAAAACTATAGTTAAAATTTGTTTGTGTTCGTATATTGTGAATTGTCCATTTTTTCTCATGTAATTCAATAAGGTATGAGAGTTAGATGTTTTAAGTTCAAGTCCTAGGTAGCACAATTAAATAAAATCGTATAACTCATGTATATTATATTCGACGTTTGAGATATAAGGGACCATTGACTAAGGAAGCCTTGAGCGAGGGGAAGTTTTCCAATATAGTGTGGGGGGAGTGTTGGAATATAAGTATTCGCTCGTCAATTTAATTAAGCTTTTAGATTGAATTGATTGGTGTCCGCAACTCAATATTCTCAATATATGCCGCAGATCACACCTAGACAATGGAGGTTAGCATCGGCAAGCCAGATGACGGGCAATCGCTTCTTGCTAATGTTGAGGCCTCCGATGACCATGCCGCCTTTGATGCCATGGCCACAAGCTCGCGCCGTCCACCTAGCTTGCGCCCTCTGCGGCACCCCAATGTGACATCCCTTGCACCAGTAAGTCACCTCATACTCAAACTTATTGATCCATTAATTCTGCCATAGCAGACATGAACATGAAAGGGTGGGTGAGACCGTGTTTAGATGGGACTAATCTTTTAAGTCCCTATCACATCGGATGTTTGACACTAATTATAAATATTAAACGTAGACTATTAATAAAACCCATCCATAATCTTGGACTAATTTGCGAGACGAATCTATTGAGCCTAATTAATCCATGATTAGCCTATGTGATGTTACAGTAAACATTCTCTAATTATGGATTACTTAGGCTTAAAAAATTTGTCTCGCGAATCAGCTTTCATTTATGTAATTAGTTTTGTAACTAGTCTATATTTAATACTCTAAATTAGTATCTAAATACAGAAACTAAAGTTAAAGTCCCTGGATGCAAACACCACCCGAGTCATTGTCGTTTGTCTTCTTTACAGTTGCCACCACTCCATCGCTGTGTACCACGACAAACCGAGGTGATATTCCCGCCACTTGACTCACCGGACTCCTCCGAGCTGAAGAAGGTTATGTCCATCAGCCTGCCAGCAACACCAACCGGCTTTGCCGCACCTGTTGCCGGTGCCAGCGACTCGTCGGGCATAGATCTCCGGAGGCAAGCCATGGCGTCGAACATGACACAAAGGCTACAGCAGCGCTCGCCAACGTCGCAGAGCAACAACGGCCGGCGGCTCACAGACGAGACAACAGCGTTCCAGTCACCCCCGCCTACCCCCGGTGGCGGCCGGTCGTCGATGAGCCGGGACAAACGCTATGATTCATTCAAGACGTGGTCGGGGAGACTCGAGAGGCAGATCAGCCACCTGGCGGGCATCGGGCCGGACATCCCTTCACCTGCAGGGCAAGTCGTGGATGCCGCCATGGATAGTCACCACCATTCTCACACTGTGTCCACGCCCGAGGTTGGCCGCTTCTTTGCCGCACTGGAAGGCCCCGAACTAGACCAACTCAGGGTAAGCTATAGAAAAATAAATGAAACAACCAAAAAATAATTCATATATATATTAGCGGTTTAAAAGCCAATGCTGAAAAATAAGCTACAACTCGTATAGTCGGAGGAGGAGCTGGTGCTGCCGGTGGATAGGACATGGCCATTCCTGCTGCGGTTCCCGGTGTCGGCGTTCGGGATCTGCCTTGGGATGGGCAGCCAGGCGATCCTGTGGAAGAGGATCGCGGAGTCGCCGCCGACGACGAGGTACCTGCACGTCGCCGCCGACGTGAACCTCGTGCTGTGGTGGCTCTCCGTCGCGCTCACCTGCGCCGTCTCCGCCGTCTACGCCTGCAAGGTGGTCTTCTTCTTCGAGGCCGTCCGCCGCGAGTACCTCCACCCGGTCAGGGTGAACTTCTTCTTCGCGCCGCTGATCGCCTGCCTCTTCCTCGCCATCGGCGTGCCGCGGTCCGTCGCGCCGTCGACGGCGGCGCTCCCGGCGTGGCTCTGGTACGCGCTCATGGCGCCGATGCTGTGCCTGGAGCTCAAGATCTATGGGCAGTGGATGTCGAGCGGGCAGAGGCGGCTGTCCATGGTGGCGAACCCGTCGAACCACCTGTCCGTCGTGGGCAACTTCGTCGGCGCGCTGCTGGGCGCGTCCATGGGGATCAGGGAGGGCGCCGTGTTCTTCTTCGCCGTCGGCGTGGCGCACTACGTCGTGCTGTTCGTGACGCTGTACCAGCGGCTGCCGACGAACGAGGCGCTGCCGCGGGAGCTGCACCCGGTGTTCTTCCTCTTCGTGGCGACGCCGAGCGTGGCGTCCGTGGCGTGGGCGGCCATCGCCGGCGAGTTCGCGCTCGGCGCGAGGCTCGCCTACTTCGTCGCCATGTTCCTGTACGCGTCGCTCGCCGCGCGCGCCGTCAGCCTCTTCGGCGGGGTCAGGTTCTCGCTGGCGTGGTGGGCGTACACGTTCCCGATGACCAGCGCCGCCGCCGCCACCATCCGCTACGCGGCGGAGGTGGAGGACACCCGCCTCGCCAGGGCGCTCTGCGTCGCGCTCGCCGCCGCCGCCACGCTCACCGTCGGCTGCCTCTTCGCCACCACCGTCGTGCACGCCGTCGTGCTCCGCAGCCTCTTCCCCAACGACGTCGCCATTGCCATCACCGACCACCGCAAGGTGAAGCCCAAGCCCAAGCCCAAGACCACCATGGAGGTGCACTACAAGATGGATGGCAATGGCGACATCGAGGGCGGTGCTCCTGCCATGACGCCATCGCCATGCATGCCGATGGCGACGGCAGCTTAGAGGATTTCTTTTCTTTTCTTTTTGACCTGCCAAGCCAACGCGTCCACATGCACATGCATGGTTTTAGCGGTTTGAATTTGATAAGATGAATATTTGAAATACAAAGTGCCTATGAAAATTTATATTGTTAATATTTTTTGAGTAAGTTGAACTTTATGTATCTACTAGAAGATGGTATGTGCTTTACTGTTAAATACTCCATCCGTTTCAAAATATTTGACGCCGTTAACTTTTTCTCACATGTTTGACCGTTCGTCTTATTCAGAAAAAATTATGAAATATGTAAAACTATATGTGTACATGAAAGTATATTTAACAATAAATCAAATGATATGAAAATAATAAATAATTACTTAATTTTTTTAATAAGACGAATGGTCAAACATATACTAAAAAGTTAACGGTGTCAAACATTTTAAAACGGAGGGAGTATATGGATTAGATGACTATATATTAAATGTTATAGAAATGATAGGTAAAATTTAGTTTAATATATCGTGAAAATAATGTAAGTAATGATGATTTAGCATGTTTTTATGTTGAACTTTAAAAGATAATAAATCATAAATATAATATTATAGTTTTAGGTGTTTAATGGGTAGGAACTTTAGAGTAGGTATAAGTTTGGTTACATACTTTGAGCCTGTGACGCCCTAGAATAATCGGGGAAAAAAAAAGATGGAGCAGGCAGCAGCAGCTAGCTAGCTGTAGCTGGCGGCCCATTTTGCTGGTGGCCTTGGGCCCATTTGCAATAAGCATAAATAAAGCGGAAAAAGTTCACTTCAGTTCCTTCATCTGTCATCAAGCTTCAAACCGTTCCTAAACCGGAATACTAAATATAATACATCCATTATCTTTCAAAACCGAGTCACACTAAAGGTGTGTTTAGTTCTAAAGTTTTTTTTTTCCAAACTTTCAACTTTTCATCACATCAAACCTTACTTTTCAGTCACATCGTCTCCAACTTCAACCAAATTCCAATCTAAACACAGCCTAGGTAGTAAGGCAATGTTGCTTCCGGTTTTAACAGACGTAGCACTCTTAAAGCAAAAATTAAAAAAAACATAAAAAACCACGTGGGATCCGCATGTCAGTGAAGCTTTAGACGGTTGACTTAAGTGAACGAGCTCCTGCTCGCGCATCGGCCTGGCGCGCCTCTCCTGCTCTGTTGGACCGCCGCGCCCAGAGCGCTCGACCAGTCGGCGGGCGATGGTCGCCGAGGTGGGCGAGGAGGCGGGCACCGCGGCGGAATCGCATCGGGAGCGGAACGCCATCGCCAGCCGCATCCGCCGCGCCGACGCCACCGCAGCGCGTCGCCCCTACATCAAGTGCAACAACTGCGGTGATGTCCGCATCGTCAAGTGTGACCGCGCCCTCTCGACGACTGGCTCCGCGACGACTTCCCCAACCACCAACTCTGCAAGGTGCTTGGCCCCGATCGATCGAGCTCTTTTTCTCGCCGCTCCTCTACGTCTAGGTACAGTACAGGCCTCCATCCATCGATCAACAGTTTATTCAGCGCATATGTTTTTGACCCAAACTCATCTACGTGTGAAAATTGAAAATCGAACTACTGATTAGCTGATAGTTGGAGAGCCTATGGGGATTCTTGGTGAAAATCTATGCAAGCTTGTGTGGTACGTCGCAGGTGCTCAACGTCGCCTGAGGCGGCCACCCGGGGCGCGTCCTACCGAGCACACCGCTGCACGAGTGGTTCTCGCGGAGTCGCTCGACGGCGAGGATAACCAGCTGATGGTGAACAGCTACCACTGCACCACCAGGGAGGGCGTGCAGGCGGCGGCTGGCGGAGCGGTTCGTGCCGATGGCGTTCGATCTGCGCTCCGGATGCGATTCTGCCGCCGCGGCGCCGGCCTCCCGCCACCTCCGCGCCCATCGCCGCGGCGGTCGAGCGGCTGCTGCCGTAGTCCTCAGCGGTGCGCTAGGCCGATGCGTGGCCAGGAGTGAGTTCGTTGAAGCCAACCGGCTAAAGCTCCACTGGCATGTGGGTTCTATGTAGTTTTAATTTTTTTTAATTTTTGTTTTTAGTGCCACATCAGTTAAAACCAGGAGCTTAACCACTTAACCACTCGGATGCTATACTAAGATGAAATAATTGGCCTCACTCTCCTTTTTTTTTTTACTATGGTTTAGCTAAAGGGCCATGCATTGCAATGGATACTATAAGAGATAAAAGAAAGTAAAATTACAAGTTTATAGTATTGGTATATTTTTAGAGGGGTTGTATAGGTAGTTAATTAGTCATATAATGTCATATCCAAAATAAAATTATTCACGTGTGAGAATTTTATGCTGTTAGCTTATAATGTCAGAGACAGATCCGAACATCATCACTAACATTATTTAAGATAGTATAGCTACCGAGAGTCTGTGAGTCTTGACTAGCTTGTGAGTAATTTTTAGAGAAAGTAAATCAATTTACTAGGCTGTGAAAAAAAAACGAGCAAGTTAACAGAAAGTACACGCACGAGGCGTCGACATACACGGACGTATATACGTAGACGTCGCGGTCGTATGGCCGTACGTCTCTCTGTATTGCTTCTAGAAGCATCCTCAAGATTGGTCAGCTGCTCGTCTCAACCGCTGCTAAACGCCGCCAAGCTCTTGACTTTCGAATAGCCGTACTCCCTCCGTCCTTAAAAAAAGCAAACCCTGGTTTTCGTGTCCAACTTTGACTGTCCGTCTTATATGAAATTTTTTTATAATTCGTATTTTCATTGTTGTTAGATGATAAAACATGATTAATATTTTATGCATGACTTGTCTTTTTAATTTTTTTCATAATTTTTTCAAATAAGACGGACGGTCAAACGTTGGATACGAAAACCAGGGTTTGTCTTTTTTTTGGGACGGAAGGAGTATAGTATATGATCATTGGTCTTTTCTATCAATCGATTCAGATTTTTTTTATTGTACTTAATTATTGTTTTTGTGATTGTACGACGTCGTCCTAGCCATTATTTTAAACAGTTTTTTAATCCTACTGCCTCTACTTAAAAACAAACTTCATTCGTGGCTATAAATCTAAATAAGCACTTGTCCAAATTCCTATCCATATTCACGTAAGTACAAGAATCGATCTAAGTATTGAAGAGAAGAGCGGAAAACCTGAGTAGGTCTTATATGTAGACAAATGACATTAGTACATTATAAGAAGTTCTGAGTATCATGACAGAGTCAAAATTGTGAAGATAATTTAAGGCTCCTTTGAAATGTGGGATTGAAAAAAAAACGGAGAAATAAAAAAAACACTGAGTTTTGACTGAAATGCATGCAAGTATAAGATAGAGATTGTAAACACACGTGAAAAATATAAAAGTAGTTGTCCGATTAAGCCACATGAAAATATTAGGAATTGGATGAAAGAGTTAAAAGAAGTTAGAGCTCTTCCTAACTCTCCTTCAAAATCTTGAGATGATTGTGCATTCCACAAGAATTTTAAACAAAAGGTTAGGGTTCAAATCTTTGTTTTTAATAGGGATTTTATTTTCGATTATGGTTAAAATACACCAAATTTCCTTTTTCTTTTACAAATCAAAGGTGGCCTAAGTGCCGGGACAATTGAATTTGGATAGTGGTATATACATATACTGTAAACTAGGAAATCATAATGTTTTAGCACTTCCTGAAGATTGATCAGATTTTTTTTATGGTCTCTGTTCATCTCTCGACCATTAATTATTCGTTGGTCGTCCCAATCTAAAAGAGACGTCAATATTGAAGTTCTCGAGCCCCTTAAAATGTCCCTAAACAATAAATAGTGTTTCTTATAAATGTAGTATATTATTCCTTGGAAAATATGACTAACTTAGTTAGAAATTTTTTTAAAAGGAGAGATATCATTATAAACGAGGTAAATTGAACGTTACCAATCATTAGAGGTATAAAATAAGCCAAAATAGTTTGGGGTTGCTTCGAGGGAATAAAATGAATTTTTCTTACAAAAACAAATCAAAACAGAAATCCTTTAGAAAACTTAATTATTTCAGGTCGGCAGTGACAATGCAAAGCATACAACAAACAGCTGTCTGCAGCGACAGTCAAAATTTTGGCTTTTTTAGAAAAAAAAAAACGTGTTCCTTTAATTTTGAGTGGTAAGAGTCATGGGCCCTGTTTGGTTCCATGGGCTAAACATTAGCCCCCACCTTTTAGCCATGAATTGGCCCTCAAGTATCCAAACATGTGGGCTAATTTTTGGTTAAAGTGAATTAGCCTCCCTCCAAACATTAGCCCCTCCAAGGGGTGCTAATGGGGCTAATTTTGCATGGGGACCATAAAAAGGCAGCCCTCTCTCTCCTTCTCTCTCCTCTCTTTTTACTCTCTCTCCACCTTTTAGTCTTGAATTAGCCCATGGATCCAAACATACCACTCTGGGCTAATGTTTAGCCTACCAATTCATGACTAAACATTAGCTCTCAAAATTAGCCATGGGCTAATCTTCCAAACAAGCCCATGGAATAGAAGCTTCTTTGCCGGCAAATTAAATGGTCGTTTTCGCACACGTGCAAACGATGAATCACGTATAGTTTATAAGTTAATTACTTTCTTGGAGGTATGAATTAATTATTGCATAGGATCGATGGCGTGGTCGTTGTTCATGAGAACTGAGAAAGTATGTGGGAGCTTAAGATGTGTCTAGCGTGTTACACAGGCACAAAAGGTATCGTTTTTGGCATTGTAAAGTAAGTAAGTCATAATTTATATTATGACACCTAATGTTTGTACCAACATCCAAAAACTATTGCATAAGGACAAGGGTTAGCCTCTACCAAAATTTAAATTTTAAAAGTAATATATTTTATGGTATTTTCAACGTAGATTATTTTTACTTTGGATTTTTAAGTTGCTAAGTACTCCTACCTATAGAAAAGTTTAACTCATAAATTATTATTTAAGTCATTAATAAGTCGTTTATTTATAATCGGCTCATGGACAACCAATAGGCTCTAAGAAAGAAAACTCCATTTTACTTCCTCAATCTATTCAATTAAATTATTTAACCCTTTCAACTAATTACCCCCTAAACAGTTGAAAACACAATTCACTTTACTCTTAATAACATTTCTCTTTCTCTTACTTTTCCTCTTTATACTAGTCATATATAAGCTGAAATTTTGAGAGCCGTAGATGACACCATATTATCAAAGCTCAAAAGTATTTCAATTTTTCATGACTGATTGCTTTTTAAAAAATATCATTGTTTGAATTAGTCTTTGGTTCTTTCAACCTATATAAACAGTGATAATAAATTTATAAAATGTTGTGATGCGAGTTATAATGCACCTATGATCGTACCAAATTTCAGTGCAAACTATGATTTATATAGAAAGAGAAAAAAATGGAAAATACAACTATGGAGTAAAATGAATTGTTTTGAATGGTTTGGGTGTAAAATGAGCCAAAAATAGTTTTGGGGTTAAGAATATTTTGAGAGAGTAAAATATACTTTTTTTCCAAGGACAATACCTTTTTCATATGAATCTTTTTGTTATAACAAACTTGGCTACTTTCTATATTAAGGATAGACTCTGCAATAAATAGGGGCAAACAAGGAAAACCATATATAAATTGGTATGCATGCTTTATATTTGAAACAAGATGAGAAAAACTATATGCCTTATAGAAAGAAACAGATGGGGTACATACATTTGATAATGTTTTTTTTATGACTTGGACGAGTAGTGGCTAAGCTATTTTGTTATTTAGTTGCTAACCTTTCAATAAAGCATGCAAAAAGGGTAGTTGCTTGAGATAGCGTACCATGATTAATTTATGTATATGTTTTTTAGCATATTTAAAGGCAAAAAATTTTCATGCATTTGTGTACGTAAAAATCGCAATGTTATCCATGTCATTTCACAATGTTTATCCCTAGGCAATGTCGGAAGTATAGCAATATTACTAATACTCCCTCCGTTTCATATTATAAGACTTTCTAGCATTGCCCACATTTATATAGATGTCAATGAATCTAAACACATATATATAGCTAGATTCATTAACATCTATATGAATATAGGTAATGCTAGAAAGTCTTATAATATGAAACGGATGAAGTAGTTGTAATATGCATATGCTGAGGAAAACTACAAATTGTACTGTGAGATTTATGTTCCTTGATGGCATATCAATTAATTAAACTTAGCTATCCTTTGTTTATTTGCATATTTGTGGAGTGATTGATGGCTCCATAGTATATGTTGTCAAATTTTCCATGTTTATTTAGATGGCATGCATGCAAGAAATTAACAATAATATATGATCAATTTTAAGGTCTAAAAAGACTTCTCCATAGTGATAATAGAGCTGTAATGTGTGTGAGTTTTTGTCCAAATGCATATGGAGGCATGTAGACATTCATAGAAAAAGTTGATGACACAACCAATTTAGCATTTTAGCCACAAAACCAAAATTCTCAAGTCAGAACCAAACAGCCGACCTAGGAAACTAAGCCCACATCTAATGGCGCCATGCATGAAGATAAGATCAGAAATTAAGCCATATACATCAAACCCACACACACTGACACAGACACATTTGCAAGAAGACATGAATTGCAACATACACTTTAACTTGACACAAAGCTATCCATAATCTCTCTCCCCCATCTGTAATTAATCAAACCAAAAACCTCTCATTATATATCCCCGATAAGATATCATCATCACCTCTATCCCTATCAAGGGCTTAGCGTGGGAGCAGATGGCTTTGTGGCAATCAAACAAAGGCTCCAAAAAGGCATTGCTTTCATGAGGGAGAAGGTTAAAAAAATGAATTTTACATTTTGTGGAGTGAAAGTGGTGTGTGGACATGTGGCTGGTGAGGCCACTGTTCTCCCATTCATCTAGAATGTTGAATTCCCAGCATCCTATTTATGTTGAAAAATAGATAGGTCGCAATCGCTTATACGTGTATGCATAATATTATGTGTTTGCAAAACCTATGCTCCATCAAGATCAACCTCAAAAAGAAATGGAGACATTGTTATCCTCTTTCTTTTGTACACTCTCTCTGGATTTATTGATTATCCACTTGAAAATTTTGTAACTGGTAGCATATATCCACCATTGTAAACATACTTTCTACTTTGATAGATCAAAGTTGTGGCACCATACAAGTTTGCACTCCATTATTGACCCACTGAAATGTGCAATAATGCAAATTCATTTATGTATTCATGGATACACTACTCTATTATTGACTTATGTGTTCATACCTGAGGTAATTGTTATTTGTGCAAAATTATAAGACAATTAATTAAATGGAAATAAAGGACAAAAGAAAGGTGACAAAGGCTG